TTTTTCCCTTAAATGAACAATGCTACGGTTTTTATAATCTAATTCGTATGAAATGATGATCAACCATAAATTATAAGTAATTAATCGTCCATTTTGAGCGAGTATAATTATTTATCAGTCTCTTTTTATCCATAGCCTTCGATGCGAATATAATATTAAATAAGCAAGTTGTATTTGATTCTAAAAATAGAAAAAGAATTAGCCCAAAATGTGAAATAATTGGATTTGGTCATAAGATATAAAATGGGAGAGGAAAATTCTACAAACAGAATGATAGATAATAATCTTTCCTACAGTCAAATATTGCAAAATTTATTCCAATTCCTCTTCAATAACCAATAAGTGGTAGTTACTAAATTTAGTTAACTTTCTAATTATGACTTTTATATAGAGAATATAAGCATATAAATAATCGTTTGGGGGATTAGGACTGTTCCAATTCAGCGTCTCCGTCAAATAATTTATAGCATATAATTGTTTTGATATAAATTAAGAATATTCAACAATATCAATAGGGATTTTTTCCTTTTTATTGATAATTATTTTCTCTTTTGTTTTTTTTTTACTGAGTCCAGCTAATAAAATTAATATTTAATGATTATTCATTGAATTTAAGAGTTGATCTTCATTTTGCTATATCCGTCTATAAATAAATATATATATATAAAGTTATTCTATATACAAATAAAGTAATAAATGAAGATTTATTCAACTTAGCAAATTTCAGATATTTTCGTAAATTGGGAAAGTATTAGTATTTTAAACTTTATGAAACAAGCTTAATAAAATGAAAGAAGATTAAATAGACAATATTAAATTGACCTATTTATTACAAACAATATTTTTAAATCGTATTTTGAATTACAAATGAAGTATATTTCAAAAAAAGTAACAATTCATAGAAAATGCTCTCGTTAAGTATTTGTAAATATTATCTAACTTGATTACGTATGAAAAAGTGTTGTAATCAGTTAAGGAATATCAATAAAATAATTTAATTCCACTATTTTATCACTAATCTTTGTTAATTGAAAAACTTCATTTATCATAGGTGTAAATAGCGGTCCAAGAGTACTTTTCTTCTTCAACTTTATCACCATCTTCTCATTCTTCTGTTGAATGTGTAATAATAGAAAATACATATATATATATATATATATATATATATATATATATATATATATATATTATCTATATATGCCATATTCTTGCTTTTCCATTTTACCAGTGTAGATTATAGTCAGTAATTTATAAGAGAGAAATCTATATGTTTACCGTGATTGTTTACACCTTATATATTATACATTCAGATTTCGTCTAAAGCTAATTTACTTTATATTAATATGCAACATTTTTATCAAAAGAACTTGTAGCAATACGAATGACAACAAGAGTTGATGATGTCACTCTTGTCTTTGGGTTGACTCTTATACAACAATGTAATATTCATATATGAAGTGTAATTACCGGATATGTATGTATTGTAAAACGAAAAAATTTGTTCAAGAAATTAAAAGGAGCGTATTGAAAAATCGAAAAATGTTCTTCGGATAAGATTCTATAAAGATTTTTTATTCCATTTTGAATTAATTATTAATATTTCATAATAAAAGACTTCATGTATGGCATTATAATTTTCCTATATTTCCATAAGAATGAAATGTCAAGCTGGTTCATAAGTTGAAAATGTACAACGTAATAATTCTGATCGATAAAACCCAATGAGCTTGTTATATATGCAAGTAAAAATTGACTAGTATGATAGATATCAGACACGCCCCTGGGTATAAGAGTAATGATTGTCTAAGTGTCATGTGATAAAATGAAAATTAATAATTCCCAGTCTGGTTTTTTTAACCTTAATGGAGAGAAGAATTTATAAAAATGAAAATCAGATTAGTCTCCTATTTAAGTATAAAAGAAAAAAAGAAAAAAAAAATGGCCGATGTTTTTCAAGATAAAAGAGAATGAAAAAAGTCGATTATAACATTTTTTTTCTTGTAATATTCTTTCAACGTATGCCGTAATGCTTTCCTCTTCCTTATTTTTTCCTTTTTTTGACTATTAAGAAAAGATCGATCTAAGCCTATAATCGATAGTAACATTATTAGACTTTCTTGTAGTTCTATATCATTTCATATTAAAATAAAGAGAATAGAAGATAACTTTCGTTTTGTGATTTATATTAATAATTAATATTTCATTATTATAAGCTTCTTTTTTTAATTTATATTTTTTTAATAATACTTTACTAGTTATTATACTAAATCAATCCTTTGCCATCAGAGTATCATTTATAGGCGTTTCTAGTCTCTAATCATACTAATTTAGACGTACCATGCTTACCTTTAAGATATGTATGTTGTAAATGTAAACTTATTAAATGTGGTTAATATATGTATATAAAAAAAGAAATATAGGTCGAATCATATTTCTATGATTGAGTTTTTCCCCTTGGGTTAAAGGTGAAGATTTGGGGGATGGCAAGATTAATTTAAGGATTAGGATTGGTTTTGATAGTACTATTTTTATTCATTATGTCTCTGAAGGTTATTTTTTTTATCTATAAATAAAAGGGGTTAAGATTTTCCGAATTATGATAAGATAGCAAATATTTTTCTTACATTTTCATGTTATTACTATGGAAAATTTGGAAAAGGGAAAGTCTCTCTTTTGTGATAAATAAAAGAAGAGTACATATTTAACCTTTTGATAATTTAAGAGTTTTTAAGATAAAAGATAATCAGTTGGAAGGAAAAGAAATCTTTACTGTCTGACATAAAGAGATAGGCGGTTGTAATATAACCAAGTCAAGTGTTTATTTGTGTTAGATACGGGCATTATGCAGTTATATATACAAAGAAGGCCTACTAAAGGTCCGTTTTTTTATTTACTGTTTAAAAAATGAGGTTACAGGCGAGAAGTTGTTAACCAAAACTATGCTAGTTAATGGGAAGTTGATTTTCCACAAATATAACGCATGTCTAGCAAAGTTTAAACATTTTTAGGTCTTTTACATATATATGTATATATACAATTGAATATGTTGATAAAATAATCAACTGATGTTCAACTGGAAAAGGTTTTACTTTTATTCTGTAATCTAGAAGAGTCGAATGCACTATTTGTTAAATAATTGACTAATTGGTTAGTTAATTAATTAATTTAACCAAAGGTTTAGTTATATTAAAAACTTTTAAACTTATTTCATTTTTTGCTTTTAATGAATAGCAAAAAAAAAGGAAATTGTAGATAGAATAATTAGTATTTTGGCTTATTTCTTTTCTAGGTTGTATATCTCTTAAAGCGGAAATGAAAATTGTGCAGTAATAGGTTAATGCTATAAAAACTGCGCAAAGCAAACTCTCAAAGCAAGTAAATTATCAACTTTGGGGTCTTTAATTAATTCACTCCTCATGAGATAAGAAAGTTACTTCAATTCTAAATATATACTGTATAGTTTTATATAGAATAATTATTATCTGGCAAAATGAGCAAAATTATCATCGATCATTATGGAACGTACATTTTGAACTCGTTTGTTCTGGTTGGATAAAAAGCAATCTATGTTAAGTATCCAATTTCGATCTGTTTGCATATTAATAGTAAGCTGGCTGCTGTAAGCGGATTTATACCCATACAGACGCTATAATTTCTCAGAACATCTGCCCATTTTAATGGGAAACTAATCAAAATTAATATTTATACCTTAAAATAAAGCATTATCAAGTAAGGAAACAACTTAAAACTGTAATAAACGAATATATATCAATCAATGTTTATAGTTCTTTTTCTGAATGTCTACTTTTATCTGATTTCTAATGAAATTCTTTAAACAATTATAAACATAATTCAATTATAAGATTTTACAATTAGTTAAAACTTCTATTTGCAATTTTAAGGAAACGAGAAATTTTCATTAGAAGAAAGAAATAATTGAAAGAGAAAGAAGAGAGCGTTAAAAGCTACAAACAAAGTGGCAGATAAGCTCATTCAGGCTTAAAAGAATATAAAGTTGTACATATGAAACTTTATATTAATAATGTGCAAACATTAATATATATATAAATATATATATATATATATATATATATATTAGTATATATATTTAACTCACAAATATTGATATCTACACATGTACGAATATATTTATATAATTTACACAACTATTTATAAAATGCAGATGATACCTTCCTTCATATGTAAACAAATGTTAAACTATATTCATCACTTTTTCATATCAAAATCTTGGTAATCGCTGAATAATTGCAAAAAACCGATTTATTCTATTATTTGGCCTTAAGCAAGGAGATTATATAGAAGTATAACTTGATTTAAGCTGCCTTCTCATGCAACAGGAAAAGAAAGACAAAGTATATGAACTCTAAAAGATTATAGGCCTTTATCAATAGCTCCTTCCGGAACATTGGACGTCAAATTGTTATTTCTTTACGCGTTGTAAACCTTTACCTACCTTTTTCTTTTGTAAACTATTGTAAACTACTAAAACGGAAACTCTTTGCCGAACCTAATTTCCAAGAAACTTAAATGATAAAAGACGTTTACGAGTTACGGGTATGATTAAACTTCTCACCATCATCTAAATAATAAATTAGATAAGGGAATGCCTAAAGCGCCTAGATCCAGTTTTAAAAAAATTCCTTACAGTTGTCCGTTTTCTTTTTACAATAGTGGTGTAACTAACATGTATTTATTAAAGAAGAATTTGGGTAAATATAGAGATTCATCTCAATCCCGCCGGCGTTTTCAGAGAAAATATTGACGTAAGCGTAAAAAACATAAGAAATAATACTGCAGTGTTTTTTAGGCGTCTCTTTTCCCTCCCTTTACGTACTAATTTTTTTTTACCCTACTATAAACAAAACTTTCATGTGTAGACGGTTGCATTACTTCCTATTAAGCAAAAACCGTAAGCTCGGGCGATATGTTGGAAGATAGGTGGCGCTCTCATCACACGAGCGAAATTTTTTCTATCCTTTGCAGTTTGTCGATTTTCGTCGCCGAACCAACCACCAATTGCACCTATTTTGAAAGGAGACTATTTCTGTTTGAATTTACTCAGTATATATATTCATGTCTGCGTGTACTTTTTGGAATATGTAAATATATTTATATATATATATAATTTATATATAATATATATATAAATATATAGATGCACTAATATTCATATATATATATATATACATATATAATTTACATATATATGTATATATATATGTATGTTCATATATATGTATAAATATATATATATATATTAATATACATATACATATATATATATATACATATACATGTATATATATATTTATTTTTATTTATGCATTTATATACATATAGAGATATATGCATAAATTTTTTAATTGATAGCTAATTATAAGAAAATATATGAGCATACGTATGTAAAGAGGGATATGCTACTTTATACGTAAGTGCATAGATAAACGTGTCTCACTTCTTTCTGCGTTGATCTTATTTGTGCCTATTCTATAAACTGTTCATTTTACTATTGAAACGGAGAAAAGAAACAATAAAGGAGAGATAAATAAAATTATCAGAAGAAGAAGCCTTTAGAATCTTCATTGTTCTCACTAATTTTAGAGGAAGGAATTTTATTCATTCCAGCCTCCTTTTACCAGGTAAGAAATTTCTTATATTTTCTTTTTCTTGTGAGTTTAATATTAGAATGATAGCGCTAGATATCAGAATGATTTGAATGGTGAAAGGGAATGATAAACGTATTCAGAGAGTGAAAGAGAAAGAGAGAGAGAGAGAGGAGAGAGTGAAAAAATGATTGAATACTGTGAAAGAGAGACGATGACAACTCGTAATGTATACGCATCGTTAGATAGAAAGAATGAAAAAGAGTTAAAAAAAAAAACAAGGATAAAATTATTCCCTTAATTTTTTGATTGCCAAGTAAGTCGATTTATTCATTGTATATCGCTTGAACGGATTCTTTGATAACGTTTATAAGGAATCCAATTGATTTGTAACAAATAGAAGGAGGAATTGGGTGAAAAAATTACAGCGTTTTTTAAGAAATTCAACTTTTTTTGGCCACTTTTGAAATACTGTTTAAATTACATATCATCTAAATACAAAAATGTACTAGTTACTTTAATTTGCATAGCTTTGAAAAACGGAGAATAACATGTGGAAACGCCGTAATAAATATTCAATTACTGTAAATAAGATAAACTGTTTATTTAGAGTACATGTATATTTTTTCCCATTTTAGCTACACTGCTATCTAGTTACAGTTGATTGGGTCAAAGCTGTAAAAATAATTATTCTTTTTTTATTTTTAGAATTTTCTTCCTTTCTTTCTTTTTCTCTCACCCGCTCACTCACTCTCTCACTCACTCTCTCTCTCTCTCTCGCACACACACACACTCTCTCTTTCTTTTTGCTTCTGATAAGATAGCATCTTTTTTTACCATTGTTTCATATTTGAGTTTATGCTTCAAATGGACAAAGAAACTAGTAAATAGAAAATATTTTATTACGGTATATGTTACTAGAAAGTTTTCTGGTTTACTTCTTTATCGCTCTGGAATGACATAAAAAATGTTTCTCAACCGGAAAGAGGTTTACTTATCCATCTATCGGTCGTAAATTTCAAGTTTTAAGTGTTTCCCTCCATCAGGAATGAGAAAAAATCAAACATATGCCCGTGTATTATATTCTTTTTATATTTGTGATTTTTATCAGCATTTTAATTATGGTTAGAAGGTTTAAGAGGCTTACAAAGCGAGTATTACAGTAAAAAGGCTATGTTATACATACACTTAAAGCTAATATTCTTAAGGGGTAAGGACGTTAGAACTGGGGTGTTGTCCATTATTTTTATTTGTTCTATTTATCTTGAAACATGAAAAGTTATTCGGAAAATTTTTTTACCATTTTCACATCAACATGTAGATTACCTAAAAAAAGAGAAAGCCAACTAATCTAGACACGATACCCACATTATTAAGTACTACCAGCTTAGAAACTAGAAAAACACATTTTTTTTAGCCAGGTAGATAATACTTTGATTAAAGAAAAAAATTATTTACTATAAAGTTTATAATAATAGTAATAAACATATAAAAAAAGCTGGCGAAAATCTCTTTAATATCTGTATGCTTTTTTGTGATTAAAGGAATAGGACAATCTCTTCAAGGTAAAGCAATTGGAAAGAGGTCAAATTTTTTTCCCGTAATGATACTAATTGTATACATTTTGTTCTTGGAAAAGTATTTACTTTAAGCGAAATTGAATTTCAAAGTACCGTGACATGAAATTAAATTCACCACAGCAATAATTTTATAAGAAAGAGAAGTAAACTCAGAAATATTTCCAATATATGTTTACCTTATAATGTCAAAATTGATAGATACAAAAGGAAACACTACTTTCCTCTTTCCCTTTTTTTTATGGCATTTATTTTTTGTATTTTATTTTTAATTGTAAAATTATCTAGTTTATATATCAATTTTCTGTTTACAGGCAATTAACAACACATGTACCTGTTGTAATATATCTTTATATCTATTTTTTTTTCTTTTTAATGGATTATCCTTCTAAAACATTAAATTGTTCGATAGATACGCCTCTATTGTTTTATGTAATTCGCTTGCCCCTCCATCAATTTCTCTAACCCTATCCGTATAACATATACGAATCATTTATCAAGCTGCTATAGAAACAGTAATTAAACTTAATCAGACATCCATCAACAAATTCTCCATTTCCGCTATAGGCTTGAGAGCATGACTTTAACTTAACAAAAGGCATTACGAAAGAAGGTTAAAAAGAACAAAAAGTTTTAAAAAAGAACACTTGGAAAGAGAGAGAGAAAAGGGGGAAATAGAATAGGAATATTGAAAAAAAATATACATAGTCATATATAAAAAAAAAGGAAATGGCGTTTAATCCAAACCGATACTATTTCACAATACCGTTCAATAAAGAGCGTTCGTAAGCTATAAAATTTACCGAACGTGAGAAACCTATTGATATTACGTAATAACGTTGAATTCCCATCACAGTCATTTCTCCAACAGAAAATCTCTTTAGAACTTCTAATGAGGTGTCTGTACACAATACATTACCTCGATGTGCTAACTTGTTGCTTATGAGAGGGAATCAGTGACTGGGTCGATCTTGCGTTAAATGAGCTATTTTAAACTTCTGAATAATGACGTCAATCATCTTGCAAATGATTCGAATGAAGCTTAAAATTGCAATCAACCACCGCAATATTCATTTACTCTTTATCTTATAGAAAAGGCTGTACTATATTTAGAATATTCTTTTACAGTTTTTTATTCAATGTACATGTACAAATTAGAACGTATATTCGAATGGAAAAAAGTACGCATGTACAGATGTTCATTTATGTCATATACAGCACATGAAATAATCCAGTGTACGTATGCATACATATTGATATACTGTATATATATATATATATATATGTATATCAAGTATATAGACTATTTATACTACTTAGGAAGGTAATAATATCCTTTTTATGTGTCACAGCCCTCGAAATTTCTTGTAGAAATAACAATTAATTTCAACTAAATTCATTAGATCGTATGAAGTCAATCAGAGCGTAAAAATAGACCTAAATCATCACCCTTTCTTTTATCAAATAAAGGATACTTGGTTTAGATGTCGACACTATTTTAATTTGCTTTATTTTGTAAGATAACGAATTCCCTAGAGTTTTCTATCTTTATCTTTTTATCTGTACACTTTTCATCAGAAGTTAAAGCTCAAGAGAAATAAGTCTAGCTAGTTATGCGCAGCCGGTAGACGCTCCCCACTCCCTCTCCTCTCTATACTTTAAATTATTTTTTAAGGTTCCCACGACAATGCTTTTAGAAATGCCAAAGTTACAGTATAAAGATGATAAACAATGGTATTTTCTCTTTATTCTTCAACTTTAAGCATCCTAAAACTTTATTAAACTTTTAATCCTTCTGTATCAATTTAGGCCTAAAAGCGAAAGCATTTAATGAAATGACGATGTTGCAAAGTCTCGACAAGAGTGTTAACAAATAGTAATATATCAATTGAAGGTCTACTACTTTACTAGAAATTACTTTTTTTTTTATGTATACTTTAAATGTTATACTACCTATTTTTCATTAATAGAAAATATATAACAATATATTTACGTATCAATTACAAAAAGGCTAACATTTTAAAATATTGTAATAACAAAGATTAGTGGAATATGTTTTCTAACAGATTAACTTTTTGTTTATGAACAAAATTATTTTACAGAGGAAAAATTTTTTTACTAAAAACAGAAAAGATATTAATGCGATACAGGAAAAACATCTTCGTTATGTATTAATACAATCTTCATTCTCTATTACTGTATATACAGTATTTTACGATTCCAAGAAATGTCTTTTCTTTTTTTTTTTGCCCTATAAGAATCAGTCATTGACTAAGCGAAGATATATATATATATATATATATATATACATTAATATATATCAAGGCATACATTTACAAATTTATATATTAAGTTAACTACTAAGTAAATATTGTATCATGAACTCTAATACAAGGATATTTAATTTTTCAGGATGTGAATAATACGCATTTTATGTATAGAAACCTACGTATATTAATAGCAATACCAAGTTACTAGTACAAAGCTTATTATTATGATTACTATATTTTTATTAGAATATGACAAGAATCAATTGGAAGCGTCTCTCTATAATTATCTTGACTATCTGTTCCGAAAATGGCATTATCCACCGTTAAAAAAAAGGGGATAACTTTTTCTTTTATCTAATCAATAATATGCAGCTAATTTAGAATTTTTTAGTCTAAAATCTAAATAACATTTGTTTTATTCTCTTGTCCTTCTCATCGCCTTTTTTTTTCTCTTCTTTTCATTTGCAAAAGATTGTTCGACTTTATTAGTTTCAATTATAGTAATACTTAGATTGGCAGAGACACTTATTCATTTTGCTTGTTTTATTTTCTTATAAAATTTAAATAAAAGTTAATTATTTAGACTAGATGTGAATTTTATTTGAAAAATATTAGATCTGATCATAATAGAGGTCACATTATAAATAAAGAATATATCAAGAATATTCTGTATATATATATGTATATTTGTATAGTAGTAGAAATAAAATAAAGTATATTTGATCTAGGAAAGATATGGAATGCATGCGAATACGCGCATATGTCTTGTGTCCGCTATAAATCACTTTGGAATGAACATAACAAAAAGATAAGGTAGGAAATTACACTACTCTATAAGCAGATATGATTTTAGAAACTCTTTATATAGATTGCATTTTAATTTTGCTTTATACCCCGTTTGACAATTAGAAGTAAGATTACCTTTAGATGTTTGGTTTATAAAAAAAAAGCGTTACTCTAATTTGCCTCTTATCGGTAGAACTAAGGAATAAAAGATTTCTCAAGTACGTTAATCGCTATTTTCATCAATAATAAACCTATTGATTCGAAAAAATATAATAGAAGAAAATTTCCGGATTATTCCTAAGTAGAAGTAGTTGAGATATACAGGAGCTTAAAAAGGTAAAGAAGAGGAAAAAGTGAGAAAGAAGCTTCCTGATATTGAACGATAATTAAGTACTTCTTTTCTTCTGTGAGAAAATAAAGGTTTGGAAATAAGTATAAGAGTTTTATAATGAATGAATGGATAGATGAAAGAGTCAGTGAGTACGGATGAAAAGTTTATTAAAACTATATTGAATTTTAAATATTACATAAATTATCAGTGCGTTACAGTTTCTGTTCTAGTGTACTGTGTTTATATATATATATATATATACATACATACATATGTATACTGAATATTATCATATACAGGCATAGAGAACTATTAATTGCCTATAATATAATACAAAAGTTTACCTGGCTAATTAATCAATTAACCATGAAAAAAACCAATTTATTCCAGGTGAAACATTTGGCTAATAGGGGAAATTTCAAAAGAATAGAAAAACCATTTTTATTCAAAATGAACAATTCTACTGGACAATTTAATGGTACTGTAGATCCAGTGCATACGCATGATTGCATAATTTTCAGATTGGGTCTGTACACTGTACTTGGATTCTTCTGCATACTGGGTTTTATCGGTAACGCTATATCGATATCCGTCCTATCAAAGGACCATACGTCACCGATAGCAAGATTCCTCCTGCAGACAATCTCTTTAGCCGATAACGCCTTCCTATGTATATGGATAATGCAGTATACAATTCGTTATTATATCGAATACGCATTGGGCGGCGCTGGGAATAGTCCAGCGTGGTTATATACCAGAGTTTTTACATTTCCTCTACTTTATATGGCGCAAACAGAAACAATTTGGTTAACTGTTGTTATAGCTTTGAATCGCTACATGGCGGTTTGCAAACCATACTTGGGGGCTCGCTATTGTAATACACCCATTACGGTATACAGAGAAGTTGCTGTTGTTACTGCCTTCAGCATACTCTATAATTTACCTCGATACTTCGAATTGAAAGTAGTTGAAACTGGAAATGGAACAGCTTCTTGGGCACCAGCTAACTATACGGCAAATTATTACTATCGCGTAATATATACAGATGGATTTTATCAACTATTCTCTTTTATATTGCCCTTAATAATATTGGCGTATGTTAATATAAACGTTACATTGGCCTATCGAGCGGCACAGAAACGGAAACAGAAGATGATAGGCAGGGCTAGAAAAGAGACTAATGAGAACAATATAACTCTTGTTATGATAATCATCGTTTTGGTTTTTATGTTATGCCTTGCTCCAGCTAGAATAGTACAATTGGTGACCCAATATAAATATGATCATTGTCACGAGACAGCTTTCTACGTAATTCACGTAGTGAACGTTTTAGAGGTAAGCTACTTTCTTTAATTTTTCTTTATTTATTTATTCACCTTATTCTTTTCTTTTTCTCTTTTTTCTCCAATATTTTCTATACTCAAGGTAAAAAAATAGTCAATTTAAGATATTAAAATCTATATTAGTGCCTTTCTGAAACTAATTAATTAAATTATAAAGTTTATGATTACATTTTTATATAGAAAAATAAAACCAGTAATATAGGAATTTCTATAAAATTACACTATATGTATCTTTAGCCTAAACTCTATATGTATAAGAGTATACAGTATATAATTTACTTACTATATTGTAAATTGTATATAGATAATTAAAATATATGTATAGAGAGCCCAATGTTTGCAGTATTTATATTTAGAAAATGGAAAAATAATCAATCCCCTATCAATAGTTGCCTCCTTATTTATTCTACCTATTCATGTTCATGGTAAAGTTATAATTAATTTTCAATTAGCTATGTTTATCATCTATTGTTGTTCAGAAAAAAAATTGTCTTGTTTATAAGTGAGATTGTATTAGGACACGACACTAAGTAGATAAAGAAATATAGCTCGCCATAGAGCCATTATAGTATAAAAAAAATAGAGAATAGAAAGACAGATAGGAAAAGACTTGCATGCATAAATAAGACATGGAAGAGGGCTTTTGAAAGAGAGCGACGAAGAAAAGAGAGGGGGGAGAAGGGGTAGAAAGAAAAGGACTGATGATGATGATGATGCTGATGAATTGGATAAGCATGATATTGCAAAATATAGCGGATAAAAATAAAGACCTAATACTATATTCTAAATACTTTACCCATTGCATTTAGAAGATAGCTTTAATGAAAACAAACAAACAAACAAAAAACTCAGCTTTTCCATTATAATAAATAGATAATCCATTGAAGAATAAATGATGAATATTCGAAACTCTCCCTTCTTTTCCCCTTTCCACTTCTATTTCCAATTTTCTTTCTGTTTTATCTAGTCGAAACGTTACAAAGAAAGAAATGTATTTCATGTTTATTTTTAATTTTTTTCCCTTTTACAACACACAAACAAAATATAATGAAAAAAGAATAAGAATGAATGAACTAGTTCTCTTTTCTAGTCTGCATATGTGACGCTATACGTGTTTTTCTCTTAATTTAGGCTATCCGATGATTTCATTAGTGCCCTTTAAAAAAAAAGAATATCATTTTCTTTAAATATTCATGACTATATGTTTTATTATTTCTCTACTTCTCATAAATAAGTTAACAAGAAACGAATTGGCTTATGGAAGTCAATTTGCAACTTTTAAAGAGAGCATTACATATTATTTATTGATTATTTTGCTAAATAATGAGATAATGAGATAAATGGTTATCAAAAATTAAATAGAGTTATTCAGCAGTTGAAAGAGCCGTCATAGAATTTTGCCTTCGCCTAATTTCACCCATTGTTTTTCAACTCTACCGTATTTATTAGTTACAAGTCTATTTTGAATGTAGTAGATAAAATAGTCATAATTATAACACATATTGTATTTAGTTGTCACGGCACTTTCGTTGGACAATTTTCTCATTAATTTGTAAATACTATAGTAGCGTGTGCAATAAGTAGCTACACGTTATCGGAAACTCGAAGACAAATCCAGGAAATTCTTCAGAATCTACCCTTTTATTTACAGTGTGTGCAATAAGCTAAAAGGTTATATTCTGGTCGAATATATTATGTTTCTTTTCTCCTCTCCCTTCTTTTTCTATTACTATAAACAGCAGTTGTTTTTCTCTCTTTTCCTGAGGATGTTCTTGTCAATCGTCTATTATCCCTTTATTTCCTTGGCTGATGTGTTACTTGACAAGAATTTATAAAGGCATAAGTTATATCTACTCCACTACCTCTTTCTCCTATCCATGCATAACCCTCAGTAGGAAGCGGAGTGTAGCTAGAAAAAATTTAAGGTGAAGAAGGAGAAAATGGAATAAATGATGGAAATAAATCTACTTATATTTTCTTCCATGATCATACTGTACCTCTTTCGTAGCTGGTTACCTGGCATTTCCTATTACTTTAGATAGAAGTTTCTTTTATCATACTTTTCCTTTAAGATCTAAAGCGTTAATTATTTTCTTATATTTATATTATTTAACACCTATTTCAACTAATATTTATTAAAATATACAATTAATATTACATGCCCTTTTCTCCTTGCCAATTGTTTTTTAAAATAGAAAATTTCCTTTGGATATATCTTATAAAAGAAGATTATTATTCCTTGGACTAATTAGCTGATTATAACTGTTTATACTTCGTAGCTTATGCAAGTAATAGCTGATCTTAGGCACAAGATCATGTGACGTCTAATGATGTCTAATTTTCTTATTTTAATGATAAAACACGTAGCATATTTCCTAGTTGATACGAATCTGATAAAGAATATATTAACAAGAATACAGGCTATGTATTAAAGGGCACAGTGCATTATATTTTATATATATATATATTTTCCCTGATTGAATCGGCAACGGAATAAAAACAATTCTAATATATGGAAAATAAATGAGCCTATTTATATAGTTTACAAATAACAAGGTGCTAACCTTAAAGTATAAATGGAAAAGGAACAAATATTTTACGTTATAGGAGAACGTAAAATAGAAGGGCAATGCAGAGAGAGAGAGAGAGAGAGGATTCGGAAATTATATACCTAGATAAACAATTCATATAAAATTTTTGGATGATTTGATAATAAGAATAGATAAAAATAGATTAGAAGAAACTGAATATAAAAAAAGATCTATTGTAAAAAAGGCACATAGAGAGAAAGGAATGGATGAGAAAAGAGATGGTGAAAACGAATAAAAATTGAGAAAACTGAGAACCAAGGGAAAGATATAACATTTGTTCTATTCATTTAGCCTTTTTAAAGTGTAGAATGAAAAAAAAGAAACAATTAATAGGTTAAGTCCTTTTGTTCGGTAAATTTTTGCCTATTTAGGGATGGGCTTGCTATGTAACAGTACTAATAACGACAGTTCCCAATGGTATTGTAATTAGCAATTCCACTGACCTTAACTTTCCTTTCATAGAGAGCGACTAAACTAAATTAAACTTGGTCGTCTAACAAGAGACAATATTGGAAATATTACATTCCCTTAAATATTAGAGAGAGATAAGAAGAAACAAAACTAGAGAGAAGGAATAAGATTGTTGATTATTGTATTATTCTATGTATAAATTTGGTAATTTGTTTTCTAGTTGATTATTAACAAAATAAAATTTATGAATTATTGCTATAAGAAATATTTTGGAATAGGAAAAGTTATTAGTCTTATTGATTCTTTACATTTATAGTAATATACTCTGCCATAGTTTAATATAGAATATGATAAAGGAAACATTGCTTAACAAATGTAACAATTTTCCATTGTAATATAAGAGATTACCTATTTTCTTTTCCATATATGCTGTTTATTCAAGTCCAAATATAATACATACTCACAGAAACATACATACATACATATGTATAAACATATACGTATATATATATTAGTATTACATATATTAACAGCGCATCAGTAGCGGTATTGAAAGCAACAATAAAGTCCAACTGTTACATTTTCTGTGTTAAAAAAGCAAAATGAAATTTTTAACAGAAACCTTGTTGCTAATAATTTATGCAAATTAGAATAAATATTAATACTATAACTAATATATTTCTTGGAAAGTAAATGTTCTGGGAAAGAGTTAGAATTACAGACAGGGTAGAATTTTAGTAGATCACTTGCATTATTAAGAGGAAAAGTTTATAAGTAACTTCTACATTTCACTGTCAATTTAAAATTGATTTACTCTTTCTCTCCTTTCCTTTGTCCTCTTTTTCAGCTTTTTCTCTCTTTCTACCTTTCCTTCTCTATCTCTGTCCTTTCATTTGCGATAGCTAATAACACTAATGAAATTATATATGTCATTTATTTAACGTTTGATAGATTTGTTTGTTTGCATACTAACGATTAGAAACTGTTTGCAAGTAATAATATACTTGCTTTAGTGCATGATTTAATAAACTGTTTGGAGGCAATATTATCCCGATGAAAAGCTTAAAATAAGTGAGGCAAATCATCTAATTTAGTTCTTTTAATATAGAAATATTTTATATTCCTTTTCCCTTCACTTGTCTAGGTCAGCAAGTTCTTTTCTCTAAATCACATCAATTGGAAAAAGATTTTATTTTCTTCAGGGAAAATTTTCTTTTTGTTCAATTGCATCTATCAGCGTTATCGTGTAATATACATGGCTTGATTGCTAAGCTGTCTGTCTGTCTCTGTCTGTCTCTCTTTCTCTCTACCTTTCTTCCTGCTTTTCTCTAATCCGGCTTTTTTTTTGTACTTTTATACAGGTTTTGAACAATTCTGTTAACTTTTTAATATATTTCGTATTCCGACGTCACTTCCGGGAGATATTTTGGACGAAGATATGCTGCTGTCGTCCAAGAGGAATGTTGACTCATAAAAGCGCCGGGACAACAGAAGGCTTGAGTTTAGTGGCTATAGAGCGAACAGAACGGAAGAATGGTGGTCTAATCGAAGAAGATGAAGAAGGAGATAAATTACATGCTCAATGTTGATAAAAGAAGGAAGAGGAAGGAGAAGAAGGAAAAGAAGAGGAAAAATGAAAATTATTGATCTACAAATGAAAAGGAGTTAAAGAGAAAAGAACATCGAACAAAATAGAATTAAATATGCGTTTCGATAAAAAGCAAAGTCCACCGTCTCGAGAGTGTAAATAGTATACCGCTAAATTAATTACGGTCTTTAGACGCGATAAGATACTGTATTGGCGAAAAAAATATGTATAAATACAGGAAATTTATTGCACTCGCCTTGATATGCCTTCTTTGCAGTTGTAATTTAATCTTGCATTCACACAAGAAAGGTATAAATTTATGTTTTAATTGAATATGATTCTTTAGTCATGCATAAACCATTTTCTCAATTCTCCTATATTCTCAATATCAATTTTTTCCTTGTGCCTTCTCCTTTTTTTCGTCTTAGCACGATCCAGGCTTCTAAATCATAGACTATGCTTGATTTCTATTCATAAATACACACACATATATTTATATAAATATATATGTACATATATATTTATATAAACATACTATATATAGAGAGTATATTTTACAGTATATATTCTATTAAACCGTTATTTATTTAGGATGCTCAATCGCCGGGAGTCTTTCAATTTAAAAGGATTACCAATATAAAAAAAAATTCCCCTCTTCCGATTGTCTTCCCCTTCTGGATAGATTTGTATTTGGGGTAAGCCTCTCCTCTTTACACCAAAACCTTTCTAGTTTATAATATGATGGAGCAGTTCCCGCCCATTAAGCCGACTGTATATGTTACAGCTTAAACGAATTATGTAGATTATACAGCTTTGAGAGTACATTGTCTATAAAAGTATATAATATTGTATACTACTGCCAAAGATAGAGGAATAAAAAAGAGATATATCTGTCTAAATATACATTCAATAAACGAAGAGTAAAGATTAAGTTATTACATCTCTAGTATTATATACAGTATCCACAAATACAGTATATATATACTTAATACATGCATATATATGTGCATATGTTTACTTCTGAGTGTATGTGTGCGTGTGCGTGTGTCTGTCTGAAAAACTATAGAGCACAGTTTAAAACCGATATAAATTATTACATAGATAGGAAGGCGTTCAGTTAATGTTCCATATAATAATTTATTGTTATAAATATACTGCATATGAAGAAGAGTTATAACAGGCCTACATATCATAATGGGCTTTAAAAACGAAAGAAATCAGCAGGTGGGTTGGACAATAACTAAATAATACCGGTGTTTCTTTTCATTTTCTCATTTTCCTGGCTTCTCTCTTTTTCACTTCTCTTCCCCCTTTAAGCGATCTTGCCTTTTGTGTCCACTTATAAAGAGCCCCACTTTTTTTAATACAAACTCCAAACCGTTATTTCTCGCCAACTGAATTAGACTTCAGAAGATGGCGCCAGTGGAGTTGATCAAATTTTCTATTATCCTTTCTTCTGCAATCCGCTTGGGGTGTTGACAGATTGTACCTATCAGCTATGGAGGGATGTCACTGTTATCAAACTATTAATCTTTAGTTTTAAAATTGGAAGTAATATTATGTCAAGTAGTAAAAGAGGTTAATGATTTATAAGTAGTGGTTTGTTACAGTTGTTGACCTTTAAATGATGAATGCATATGCTTTAAAAAAAAATACCAGTAAAGTCTAGTAAAGTAGCAAAAAGGAAACTTATCTCTCTTTAGTTTAATTGCACAATTAAAGAAATAACTGTGAGAGAAAATAGAAGGAAGATAATTTTTGAAGGTCGAAATGTACAGCAATGCAATAACCCCACCCCTTTCTCTTTCTCTCCCTCTCTCTCTCTCTAGATTCGTATACTTGTATATATTAATGATTGTCCTGTAGTAAAGTTTTGCCTTTATCCTTTTATAAAGCGTCTCTTTCCAGGTTTTAAGCAATTTCGGCTATTTCTCTTCCCTTGTGCATTATATTCCAGCTTTTAATAAAGAAATGGTTAATTAAATTATGATTTTATTCTCAAAAGTATGCTCCAGTTATTGATTAAATTAAATATTTTGCCTTTATTAGATAAGATCTTCAATTAATATTGAGTACTTTCGAAATAATTACATAAATCAGCGTCAAGGCTTTTATAGCTCACAAATTCTATTAAGTTTTACTATCTTGTAACGCTTCTCTGTTTGTCTATTTTTAGATATTTCACTAAACCTGAATCGTGGGCTGATTATAAATTACAGATAATACGTGGTTTATTGAGTTTAGAGAGAAAAAACTGTTTAATCTAACTACGAGAGTTTCTTTTTTTTATCAATTCGAACATTTTCAAAAGAACCTATTCAATTGGACGTAGTTGACGTTTCGCTCTAAGAGGTTATTGACCTTTGCTCCTATAGTTTTCTTGACAAGAAACTATTGACAAACTTTTCCATCTAGCTAATCGCCGTAAATTTATAGCGAATGAAGCCTACCTATCATTTCGTTATTTCTTTTTTAATCTATTTAGTCGCAAAACCATTCAAATGTTCAAATTTAGTATATTCAATTAAATCTATATTATAGTATTATCCAGACTATATTTAGCTCTTTTTAATATGAATTTTATATAGTTTCCACCATCATTAATTCCAGTATTTTCCTTTAAGGTTATCAAAATGAAAAATTCCCTTACCATCTTTACAATTTGTAAAATATTCCCCTATTAACTTTTGTTAAATGTTTATTAATATTTTCAAATAGGCCTAAACTATTACAATTATACATTTAATCGTACTTATTTTGTTCATTCAAGTTACCTAGTTATTGTAAAAAGATGCTTTTGGTTTGTGAGAATATTTTACTATTTTAAGATTGAACTGTTGTGGCAAAAGGTTACAAACTGTTCAATTGTTTTTTTCTTTTATGATTTATAATGAATTGAATATGAATTGATTAAATTTTGTTTTTTATAGTATTTTTTCAAAAGAGTATTGTTCACGTATAGCAAGTTATCGTTATTGATTAATTAGTTGGCGGCATAGGATGGAGAGTCGAGTAAAATCCCTTATTGATTGTCCATGATAAAACTAGAATAAAAGTTTGTTATCTGGAGATGGCGCCACTAGTTTAGTTATAATGAGTAAAGAGGAAGATAGAGATGAAGAGAGAGAAAAAACGATAGGACAGATATGGAAAAGAGATCTATTATTACATTTGTATCTATTCATATGTCTAAATATCCTTGTCTAAGGCAACTATCACGACATCTTTATCTGTCCAGAAGTGAATAATAAATCAAATCCAACCTTGATCTGCAAATCTTGTAAAAGACAATTGGTGAGACGCAAGAGCCCATCGCAATGAGATTCGACCGGTTAAAACGATTTACGTCTAGGTGACGCTTCAATCGGAAAAATCAGCGCATGAGGAGTTGAGTTGAAGAAGGGAAGAAAAGGGAATTCTCATCTCTCCACTTGTTCTTTTCTAAATACCAGACCCAAGGAAGAGTTTGCTTGTAAGGTGAGTGATAATATTCTTTTTTAAAATTCTTGTTTCCGCTTTATTAATAGATCCTTAAAGAGAAAAAGAGAAATTGTGTGAAGGGTCATTTATGCTATTACGTTTTCTCTTTTTTTTTTGTCAAATCTTTAATGATTTAGCTATATGAAATATAAAAGTACTTATATCTTCTATAGATGCAGTATATACTGCAAATCATTTATTTTTTTACATTGCTTGAGCAAAAGGGAAGAAAGAATCAAAGTTTTCTTTTTTAGTTTTTTTACAACAGTATAGTAATTTTATCGACCAAGTCTAAAAGCTTTTCTATTGTCCTTAAAATGAAGGAAGTTAAATACTTCGGACCTTGAATAAAAACACTAGTAGAAACAAAAAAGATACAAGGGACAAAATGCCTAAAGAAATTGGAATAGGAATTGTAATATCTTGGGTTAGAGATATATCTCCTTATAGGGACGTTTAGTATCAATTACTGCAGATATTATAATTGGATATATATATATGTATATGGTTGGAAATCACGTGAGGAATGGGATTATATCTTCTTGTTGAAGGCATCACATCCGCAGAATCTTCTATTAGCTTAATTATCTATAATGGGAAGGGGTCTGACTCGTGCATTATTAGAATTTGGTTATATTGGAACATCTGTTCATGATATTTCTTTCATTCTTCCCATTGTAAGCGAATCATTCTATTCAAAAAACTTTGTCAAACTTTTCAATCTTGAGAAAGAGATATGAAATTAATATTAATTAGTCATTAAATTTTAGCATGTCTAACTGAAATAATAATGAATTTATAATGAAATACAAACTAGGAGTGAAGTTTTAACGGAATTATTCGTGGAAATGATTTAAAAGAACAAATCTTATTTTCCCTCTCTTAATTGTTAATTAATTGAGTTATCTCTTCTTCCTTTTCCTTGAGTTTCAAAGAATGTGAAACAAAAATTAAAAGAGACTGATAAATAAAAAAATATATTGAAATGTAAATAAATTGATTGAGGGATAGCATTCAGAGGGAAATAATAGGAGGAGAGAAAGGTGACTGATAGGAGAACAGACAGGAACGGATACTGACAGTCATATATATATATATAGATGCGATATAGATGTGTGAATCTATACAAAAGGAAGAGAATGAGAAAGGAAAAACAAGAAAAGTATAACAAATGTACTAATAAGAAATCTTGATTTCTTACTTATTGATAAATTATAAGATATATTAACAATTTTTTCTTCGCATGATGTACAAGCATTAAAAGTCTAGCAGACAGCTATTTATCTCCAAAAAAGAAGATATTTTCCCACTCTAATAGCACTCATTAATTCATGTAAAATTTAATGTAATAAGTGTTACCTCTTACCAATCTTGATTGGCTATTAGAACATAATAATATAATTATATTAAATTCCCTTATAGATATAGATATTTCAACATGTTCATACAAAATATTACAAACCTAACCTAGTTTGTAAAATATTTCATTCCCTTATTTGTTTAGTTTGTTTGTAGAAGAGAATTTTTATCTATTGTAAAAAATACATAATTCTATATGTCCTTATTATATTTCAAATACTATTAATAATATGATCGACACCATTAGATGTAAATTAGACGGCTGTATTTAGTTTGGTTATAAAAATACTTGAGCTCGGTAAAAAGAAAGGAAAAAAAAACGCTATCTCAGCTGGAAGAATCCTGTTTGGTTCAGATAAGGGGAAAAATTGTGTATCAATGTTCTACAAACTATTGATAATTTGATAAAACTTAATTACTCTAACTTCCAATTAACTTTTAATTATTTGATAGGAATCTTAAATAATCGGGCAATTCTTTAAAACGAGTCTGCTTTATACTTTTCCATTACTTTGACAACTTTACATCAACTTAACATAGGGAAACGATCATTCCTTGGGGCTAGAAAATACTACGTTGGTGGAACAGGCAAACTACATGCTCGACCGACTCTTTCATTGATCCTTCCATCAGCAATGTCAGTTTTATTGATAAATTGTACATTAACGCCATTCAAGCTTCAAT